AAATTTCATCTAACATACAAATAATCTTTTTTTGTATAGCTGCATGTAATTCATTTCTCTTTACTCTCATTTCACTTGCATATTCATTTATTATACGGTAAGCACATACACTGAGCACCCTCCTTGGGCTAGTCAGGTACCTCAGTGCTAGGGTCAGAGAGAAGAGTAAACAAAATCTCTTCCCATAAGGACAGCCCATTTTTAAACACAATCCCCAAAATAAATAAATTACAATCTTTGAGGGAAAAAAAATCCAGTTATGAGGGACCATAATTGATTTAATTTGGATTTAGCTGGCCAAACAAGGCTTCCTGAAGGAAGTAAGATGTAAACTAAAACCTGAAGGATTAACAAGAGTTTGCCTAACTTGGGAACATACCTTCATTAAAAGCAGAAACAAACAAACAAAAAGACAGGGGAAAAGGCCACTTTTGCTATTCTCACACTTAAACATTCAAAAGTATTTCACTTTCTGTTGTGATGTGCCACCCTCTAAATGTCAATTTAAAAACTCTTTTAACTATTTGTAGTGGCTTTCACAAACACTGCTTTAGTTTGAGCACTACAATTCTACTTCTCATTAGACACTGACTAAAAAAACTGATGGTACAAAGAAAGAATTTTCACAGATTATGTAAAGGAACCTAGTGCCGGGAGAAAGAAGAGGCTAAATGGTACTGGGTGATGGGGAAGATAAAGGTCAACCAAACTTATCTGCCATTAAATTCATATCACTGAATTCCATTTGGCATAAACTAGCAAAGTGGCACAGTTGGCAAAGAATCCACCTGCCACTGCAGGAGACAAAAGAGATGTAAGTTTGATCCCTGGGTCAGGAAGATCCCCTGGAGAGGGAATGGCAACCCACTCTGGTATTCTTGCCTGGAGAATCCCGTGGACAGATGAACCTGGTGGGCTACAGTCCATGCATTGCAGAGAGTCAGACACGACTGGGCATGCACACATACACACACACAATTATATCATCTGCTCTCAAAATCCTGCTGGGAGCCATGGCCAAGCCTCACTTCTCTCAGGAACAGCTGAGCAGAAACGAAGACTATGGCAAAGAGAATGACTTGCATTGCCCTTTCCTTAGTCATCAGAATTCATACAAACACCATGCCTTGGCTTTAGATAGAATGAAAAAAGTACCCCTTAAATTTAATATGTAATAAACATTGAATATTATTACTTATGGGGCTTCCAAGGTGGAACTAGTGGTAAAGAACCTGCCTGACAATGCAGGAGACATAAGAGACGTGGGTTCGATCCCTGGGTCAGGAAGATCCCCTGGAGGAGAGCATGGCAACCCACTCCAGTATTCTTGCCTGGAGAATCCTAAGGACAGTGGAGCCTGGTGGGCTACAGTCCATGGGGCTGCAGAGTCGAACACAATTGAAGCGACTGAGCATGCATGCATTATTACTTATATTACAAAATGACAAAGTGCATTTGACTATGTGGCAACCTAGCTCTACAACACACATTCTTCCTTGGCACTACAGAAGCTAAGTGATCTCCCTGGCCATCCAGAAATATCCCTAGCCAGGCTCTCCGTCTCCAGGGGCTCCATCTTAGTCTGTGTCTTGGTCCATTCAAGTTCTCACAGGAAGCAGACTAGAGACTTCATCTTTCAACAACTGACTGAGCTCAGACAACACTTCCCCCTTGGACCACTGCTTTGTTCTTTAGCAATATTAGGGGGGGTGTGACTATCCCTTTGGCTGTTGAGGATTACATGGAAGGTAAAGGTTTGAACAGTGTATCTTAAAAATTATGTTGAGTTTAGTACAGAATAACTTCATAGTTGTTTCAAAAAGTATAGCTGTTACAGGAGGAATTTAAGCAAACTGCTTAACCTTATAACCTACTTTCTTCCTTACTTTCTAGTGGAACAACCATTGAGTCAAGATTTATAACTTTCTTTGGGAAACAAAAGCTAAATATTCTCAAAGAACATGTGACTTCAAAGTGACTTAAATGTTACTTTTTATTTTTATTTTTCGATGTATCTACAACAAATAGATACTAAAAAGCCAAAAGAAAGGCCCTTAAAACATAAAAAATTTGTTTTCAAACATATCACAAGTGAAAGCCTTAAGAGTTCTCCTCTAAAGTAAGAGATCATTAGAAATACTAAGATGAATTCTGAGATCATGTGGGCTGTAAGAGTATGCATGTTACAGGGGAAATTTAAGTTTGGATTAAAGCCAGAATAATATTTGGAGGAGCAGAGTGAAGATAGTGCATTTCATTTCCTTTGGATTTGGAAAAGCACTAAATGAAAGTCACTAATCAAATATATATTTTTAGTCCCAGTGACAGTGGAGGAGCTATTAACAGACACATAAATTACATGCTTTTCATGTTTTAAAAATAATATTTAATATTCTTATCTTAAGAATTTAAGTGTCAGGATGCAACATTCTTAAGGTAAATAAGACAATAAGGTTTTTTCCTACTGAAGTATGTGACTTTGGAATCACTTAGTCAATCCTTACAGAGCAATAATTGCAAAGCAACTTTCAGTGTTTTCAAATTTGAGCTGGTAAATTCCTAAGTGTTTATGATTTACATGTACACATTATGTGTATATACTACATAAATATTTGTCAATTCAACTAAAATTTATTGAAAAATTACTAAGTATAAAACTCTGTTATTTTTTAAAATATAAGTTTGTATAACCTCTCATTTAGGTCAAAAATGTGACTCATCAGGTAGCTCAGTGGTAAAGGATCCAACTGCCAGTCCCGGAGATGCAGGAGATGTGGGTTTGATCCCTGTGTCTGGAAGATCACCTGGAGCAGGGCATGGCAACCCACTCCAGTATTCTTGTCTGGAGAAGACACAGGAGCCTGGCGGGCTACAGTCCTTGGGGTCACGAAGAGTAGGTCACAACTGAGCATGCATGCACATGCACATGTCTCATCATGTACACTAAACATGAAAATAAACTCAACCTGATTTCCCTATTTGTACGTGGAATATAAATTCTGATAAACACTAGGGTGTTGACATTATGGCAAAGAAACTAATCATGTGAAATGACCCAGTTTTCGGTTTGAAGGATTTGGTTATGTTTACGTCATGCTTGCATTATCTGGTTTGCAATCCACTCTTTCACCTGATTTTTTTTTCCCCCTAATTTTTACCTGTGCTGCATGGCATGTGGGATCTTAGTTCCTTAACCAGGAATTGAATCCATGACCCCTGCAGTGGAGGCAGAGTGTCTTAACCACTGGACTGCTAGGGAAGTCCCTTGCCTGATTCTTTTAAGACCTACAAACCCTGTTCATTTGCAAAAACATGTATTTCTCAAACTGGTAGGATCATTCTAATATTCAAAGAACTTGTTTCATTTATATGGAGGGAACATATAAAAGTAGTGAAACCACAACATGTTAGGGAAGGGCCACCTCTCTTAATCAAGCAAAGAAACTATCAGTAGGGTTGCAATAGTAGACAGCAGCACACATGGAAACAGCATCACAAAATTTGACAATCAAGCTTGCTTTTAAAGTAAGGAAATGATGTGGAGTGAATGTAACTGGCATTACAATAGGATGCCTGTGTCTCTGAAAGCTTATGGCTGAATACAAAACACTCTCAGTAAAAAGAACTGAGAAATAACTAATTCTTAAAGGCTACTGCTCTGACTACCTACAAAAAGTATTTCTCTACATCATGTATCTGACTATGAGCAAAAATTCTCTTAAGACCAGGGACTGAACAAGGCATGCCTGATCCAAGCAGCTTCCGCTGACCCTGGCTACAGTCCTGGGTTGCCTGGGATACCAGGAGAGGTCTGTTTGTCCAAGAAACAGAGGGATCAGAAACAGTGGCTACTGTGGTGAGAGAAATATATCCAGCTATATCCAGTCTGCAGCTCCTAGCATGGAATGCTGGCTCATGGTGTAACACATTACAAAAAGCAGCTCCTAAGCGTACTTATCAAAGATGTCTGTCAAAGTTAAATAACCTGGTTGTTCTGTTCATTGACTTTTAAATAAAAGATGATATCAAGGCTTGGGAATGTGATTTCAGAAAAAGTATTTTAACTTTTCCAAGTACAAAGGGTTGCTTGAGGTCACAGAAGCCACAAAAACAAACGCTGAATCCTAAAAATTGAATCAAAAATAAATCAGATAACCTGTCGGCGACGCTAGCAGAAGGTACATCTGAATTCTCCCCTTCAGGCATCCACGTTATGAGCTCTTAGAGCTAGACTGTCTTTCATTTCATGGGCCACAGTTGAGAGCATAGAACAAGAATGGGGTCCAGCAGACATAAAGGAGTATTTATCCACATGGATATTTATGGTACAGCTCCTTTGTGAGAGAATAGTGCCCTTTTTTGCGTGTGTTCCAGATTTGACCTTCCTTTGGCCTTGGAATTATCTGGTTTGTTTTCTTCTGTAGCCAGGTTCTGAAATATCAAACACAGCTGTAGGCAAAGGAAGAGGGTGGTCAGATAGCCCACCCATTGGTGCCATAATAAATGGAATTGGAACTGATGTATGTAGAATTAAACAAGGTTTGCCTTGGCACCACTGTCTCCTATGAGTCATTTGTATGAAAAGCCAGAACAAAACACTGAAACAAATACAACAGCAAGAAAAACAAACGGGAAGGGGGCACTCTTTGGAGTTGGATGAAGTCAGCATCGTAAATTTCCTAGTGGCCACAACCACTAGAAGGAAGAGATGGTAAAGAATGCTGAAGGGATTTTTGTTTCCAAAAGGGACCCATGCACCTGTTGATGTGTTTTCCAGGCCCCCGAATGATAACAATTTATGAGGCTATTAATACTAAGCCCAAGATTTATCAGATGTGCTGCTTTGTCTTGTGGCCAATACAACCTCATAAAATTTGGGTTGCATTGGGTTAAAACGGAGCATTCTGCCCTTGGAGTTATTCTGAGCATTTAAATCGCTTAATCCTGCAAGAAGGGTGCATTCAGCCTGCCTATTAGGGAGAGTCTTTTGGGATTCTCACCAGTTGCAGAGCCGGGCTGGAGGGGGCGGTCCATTGCTGGGTGAGGTAACGCGGAGGCTGTGGGGGAGGAGTGGGTCTTGGAGACCAGACGCTCTTTCTCTAATCCATCCATGCCCACAGCAGCCAGCTGAGCCTGGTGCAGCGAGACTGCACGTGTGTGCTGGGGCTCCAAGAAGGACTGCTGCCAAGAAAAGAGCACAGAGGAGAGAAACATGAGACCAGCACGCAGGGAGACACTGAGAGCGACATGTCAACAAATTAAGTTCATCAGGTCAGAGACATAATAAACGGTGTGAAGGAAAAAAAAATAGAGAAAGGGAGAGAAAAAACACGATCCAGTCAATAAATCCATTCAACAGATGTTTTCACACTGACGGCCAGGGCCTGCCTCCCTGGCTGAGGAGGAGGTGATGGCAGGAGGGCTGTCAGTTTGAACTGATTGAAAGAAACAGACCTTTAACCTCAAGAGGAGCATCGGCTCAGACTCGTTTCCCACCTTGATACCAACGTTGTGAATATAGCCCTGGGACTGTCACAATGGCAGAGCGGGAGAACAATTCAACTGTTTTCAAACCACCACCAAGACTCAATTCTGAAAACCCTATCCTGAATTCACTTCAAGTAATACTGTCAATGAAATTTTGGTTCAGTTCATTTGCTCAGTCGTGTCTGACTCTTCGTGAACCCATGCATCGCAGCACGCCAGGCCTCCCTGTCCATCACCAACTCCCAGAGTTTACTCAAACTCATGTCCATTGAGTCGGTGATGCCATCCAGCCATCTCATCCTTTGTCGTCCCCTTCTCCTCCTGCCCCCAATCCCTCCCAGCATCAGGGTCTTTTCCAATGAGTCAACTCTTCGCATCAGGTGGCCAAAGTATTGGAGTTTCAGCTTCAGCATCAGTCCTTCCTGTGAACACCCAGGACTGATCTCCTTTAGGATGGACTGGTTGGATCTCCCTGCAGTCCAAGGGTCTTCTCCAACACCATAGTTCAAAAAGTATCAATTCTTCCGCACTCAGCTTTCTTCACAGTCCAACTCTCACATCCATACATGACCACTGGAAAAACCATAATCTTGACCAGATGGACCTTTGTTGGGAAAGTAATGTCTCTGCTTTTTAATATGCTATCTAGGTTGGTCATAACTTTCCTTCTAAGGAGTAAGCATCTTTTAATTTCATGGCTGCAATCAACGTCTGCAGTGATTTTGGAGCCAAAAAAAATAAAGTCTAACACTGTTTCCACTGTCTCCCCATCTATTTCCCATGAGGTGATGGGACCGGATGCCATGATCTTAGTTTTCTGACTGTTGAGCTTTAAGCCAACTATTTCACTCTCCTCTTTCACTTTCATCAAGAGGCTTTTTAGTTCCTCTTCACTTTCTGCCATAAGGGTGGTGTCATCTGCATATCTGAGGTTATTGATATTTCTCCTGGCAATCTTGATTCCAGCTTGTGCTTCATCCAGCCCAGCGTTTCTCATGATGTACTCTGCATATAAGTTAAATAAGCAGGGTGACAATATACAACCTTGACATACTCCTTTTCCTATTTGGAACCAGTCTATTGTTCCATGTCCAGTTCTAATTGGTGCTTCCTGACCTGCATATAGGTTTCTCAAGAGGCAGGTCAGGTGGTCTGGTATTCTCATCTCTTTCAGAATTTTCCAGTTTATTGTGATCCACACAATGAAATTTGCAGGAGCCTAAATGCTGCTAATTAAATGATTATATTTGACCACTTTCAGTCTTCATACAGGCTTCCCAGTGGCTTAGACAGTAAACAATCTACCCTCAAGACAGAAGACCTGAGTTCAATCACTGGGTTGGGAAGATCCCCTAGAGAAAGGAATGGAGACCCACTCCAGTATTCTTGCCTGGGCAATCCCATGGACAGGGGATCCTGGTGAGCTGCATTCCATGGGGTCGCAAAGAGTTGGACATGACTGATCGACTAACACACACATACACAGTCTTTGTATAATTACACAGAATAATGTTTTTCATACTCTGATGATATAATCCCAATACTATAAAAAACTGTTTCCTTTAATAATATTAAATACAATCTCAGTATTTAACAACATTGTCATACTTCGTATGTCTCAACTTATCAAAGAGCCAGAATTGGAAGCTCCTGAAAGATTCACTTGATCTATTCCTCTGTCTCCACTCCAAAAAAAAAAAAAAAAGAATCTCTAAACAGAGACAGGCACTATCTCTGTTTAACTTAACTAAACTACAGTTTAACTATTAATATTACACCCTGAATAGGTCCTCTCTCTTCAACATCAGGGAATTTATAACCTTTGTATTTAATTTTATATCTCCCTGCCTTTTCTATATTCCCAATAAACATGAAAAGCAACTCAACAGTGATACAAAAGACAATCACCTCTCATGCCATGGATAAGGAAACTAATACTCCAAAAGGTTAACAAAGCCTTCTAAACACAAGACCAATTTCTAGCATTTTAAAAATCTCCCTGCTCTCCTGCTTCTTCAAGCATGTACTGTTTCAAGACTGGAAGCAAATGTCACCTCTCCTTAATGTCACCAAATGTCACCTCTCACCCGAACTTTCTTGTTAGCATGGCTGCTCCTCTAGTACAAGGCTGGGCACATCCTTTGAATCCAAATTATTCAATTAATGAGAATGCTAACAAGTCTAAGTACAACACAACTGTATTCAATGCATATTACATTGATTTATGTCACTGTGACTTTCTCTGTATGAGTTAATGCTGTATATACATGTGAGTTATGAGTATGAATATATATTTAGTTATAGACCATAGACAGATTTCTCAATTTAGAAAAAAGAATCATTAAAAATTAACTTTAAAATAAGTTCTAAGTAATGTATGTGTATATGGTGTTACTTCTGTTTTGCTCTGCAAAATAACTGAACCATCAATCAACGGGAATGTATTTGTCACATCCTCAAGCCCTGGGCATTTGCTTTGATGGTGAGAATGATTTGGCCAAGAATCTAGTCCTAGTTAACAATAGTTGTAACACTTCAACAAGCATCTAAATCTCTTGCTTTCTTGAGTATCTCCATGTGCAATTCCCTAAGGAAACAGCAGTAGGGTTGGCACAGTCTCTCCTTTCCTGGAACTTACAGAGGAAATGCAAATGTGCAATTAGGACTTCGGGAGTTTTCTATGGGAAAATGAGCTCTTCTGCATAGGATCTAAAGTGCCTGGGTAAATATATACCTAGATGTTTGTGATGTCCATCCCTTCTGTTTCTATTACTGTACAATTCAAACTAATGCAAAAGGCCCTTGATTGACTATCCTAATTCAAAAATCAACCCATACTATTCTTTCCTGCAAGAACTCTCTTTCTAAAGCTCTACTAATAAACAAAAAGGTGACAAAAAGTCTCTGAAGGTAAAGCAAAGTTTGAAGAGCCTCCCCAGGCTGTCATCTAGGTTCTCGCTGCATGCATGTATGTTCTGTCACTTCAGTCGTGTCTGACTCTTTACAACCCCATGGACTGTAGCCCACCAGGCTCCTCTGACCATGGGATTCCCCAGGCAAGAATACTGGAGTGAGTTGCCATGTCCTCCTCTAGGGGATTTTTCTGACCCAGGGATCGAACCCATGTCTCATGCCTCCTACACTGGCAGGCGGGTTCTTTACCACGAATGCCCCCTGGGAAGCCCAGGTTCTCCCTGACCTGAGGCCAATCTGCATTTCAATGTTAGCTCTTCTATTCCTTCTTCAGGTTCTAGCTCAAATTCCTATCTACCGTGAAACAAATACCATCCCCAGGGTTGTATTCTTTCATGGGCTCTTTCCTCTATAAAAAATACTAAACATTACCTTTTATGCTAAGATCAGCATACACTGGAATCATTATCATAATATCTATTTTTTCTTGATTAAAAACTAACATTAAAAATACTCTGTGGGCCCCTGAGAGTATCATGGGTTCTGGCACAGCGTCTGCTGTGTCCAATGGACACACTGGCCCCGATCGTTCGTGCTTCCAACCTTTTCCGTGTCACCTGTTCTGGGTGTATCCACGAGGCTTCACATCCAGCAACCATTCACACCCTCTAAAGTCCATGTCAAATCTTACAGCAAACCTCTTAAACTCACATGTGATACACGCTTTTCCTCTCCACTCCATTTCCCTATTTCCCTGCCATCATCTTTTATGTATTAGAGTTACTGCATGCAGTAACTAGTTATTGAGCTCATACCCTGAGCCAGACACATAGCTGGTGTGTTGAGCCTTTTTAATGTTTATCGTCTAGTGAGGAGACAGATACTAAATATTTCTAAGTATAATGCAATTATAAATATGAGTGCTATATGGGAAAAAGTCAGAGTACCACGAAAAACTTTAAAGAAGAATATGATTTAGAGGTTGAGGGAACATTCCTTAAGCAAGTCACATTTAATTTGAGATGTAAAGGATAAACTGAATTGGCTAGATGAATGGGGCCAAGGATCTAGATATGTTTTGCGGGGGAGGGGAAAAAGAAATCAACCAGAGACTGGATCTAATTCATCTGTGAACTTATTTTCTGCTCCATTTTATGTCTTTTCTTATATTTCTTATATTTAGCCTTCTTAAATATGTATTTGTGCATTAAAAATAGTAACAGAAACTTGGCAGTTAGAGGCCGTGCTATTTTTTCAATAACATAACCATGTTTTAGATCACTGGAGTTACTAAATATTTTCTCTCTTATAGAATAGCTCAATACTCTAAGAGTTCATGTAAATATCACCACCTTCTTTGCTTCTTTCTTCATAAAGCATATTCATTGCTTTACTTGGACTTCACAGGAACCTTTGAGATAATGGAATAATAATTTGATAACTCATAACCATGATACAAATGTTACATCCCAGTACAGAACTTCACAACCAGGCAAGCAAAATCCTAGTTATTCAACCTCTACTATTAGGAAAATGGCAATATAAGAAAAAAACTTGTTCAACAGTATTCATCACATGCAAGAGTTCATCCAATATCTATTATGCATTGCAGATGGGAAACAAACCCCATAATGGGGTGAATAGTCAGGCAAGTGAATTACACATGGCTCCTGATCTTATGGGTTGACACCCCAAATTCAAGTACTTTATCCATAATTAGTTAAGTATCATAAGGATGTGAGCTTCACCCACTGACTCATGTATTTCCACATATACAGTAG